TTTAATGTTGGTGGTGGTGGTGGTGATTGTTTTTTTAAAGCTGTTTCCCACCAACTGTGTCAAAATCCTGATTCTCACCAAAATGTCAGCTTGGGGTAAACCCTAATTAATTAGACCTTTCGTTTAATTCTAACGTCCTTTATATATATTTTTGAAAATATTCAGGATAGATTAAGGAAAAATTTAAGTTTGCATTCCTAGAAATTTTTAAAACATGATAAATCGTGATTTTGAATGTACTAGACCACCTTAATTAAGACTTATTGACTGATCCCGAGGGAAACACGTGGTCGACGGTCCACAAAAAATGATCGGTGACAACCTGTGAGAATACGCGACAAAAGCGTAGGCAAAACTAGCAGAGGAACCTCTCGTTTTAAAAAGAATTCGGTCATAATGCCATAATGTCACGTGATGTAGCGTTGAAATTAATATCGACTGCCGGTTTTATTAATCCCCGGTGGTTACAAGCATTAACGTCCGATGAAACTGGTTTAAACCTGCCGAACAAGATTTTGCGGTGAACATTCGGATTTCCCGTCTTTCACGTGACGTAGCCTTAAACAGTGGGAATAATCACAGGGAAATGTTTTCTATTTCTTTTATAATATAACTCACTAAAAAGATTTTGAGAAAATATTGTAACTCGATTTAATTACAAATACTCATTACATTAGTTCGCCTGTCAAGTTCGGCGGGAAAGTTCCCGTGTTTCTATACAGTTTTAGAAACACGCTTCGCGACCAATCAGCACGCGCGGATCATAAATGTTATAAATAATAATGAATTCACCCGTTGCTTTCAGAATGCTATATCGTCCTCAAATTTGGTCTGTCCTCATTGCTTTCAGTCCATAAATGGGCAGACCTAAGCCCAATTTAAATACTAGGAGTTACTATCGCAAGGAAATTGCTGCCTTAACATCCCCGGTTAGGCCAAGGATTAAAGGCAGCATGCGGAATTTTCTGAATTGGTTGTTTATATGTTTATACGAGCACAACAATCGACTAGCGAGATCGAAATTTTGAAATCTGTTTCGACTAAACTATTATGGCTCATTTTCCTATCATAATGATTTTAGTTTAAGCTTGTCTTGTATTTTCTTACAGTATTCATTTTTAAAAGTTCGTTATTTAATTTGTGGAACTGGATGTTAAATTGAAATGCTCTAACACTTCAAAAGCGCTATATATTTTGTATACGCTCAAAAATACAAAAAATAGTCATTTCGACTAACGAGATCGACATTTTGAAATGTATTTTAACTAAACTGTTGTGATCTCATTTCCTGATAATGATTTTAGCTTATTAAGCTTGTCGCAAATGGAGCTAGTTGACAGTTCCCCAAGATCAAGTGTTGCGGTGGCGTTTTGCGCGTTGTCGCCGAATATACAGGGTGTCTCAAAAAAACGCAAACAATAATAGGCTTAGAATTCGAATACCCAAGAAAAAGCTCGACGCAATAGCGAGTAAAATTTTGACAGGATACGTGCAATTAAAAATAAGTTAAGAAATTCGTATTGAATATTGTGCTATTTTCCATCCATTGGGGGGGACGTGTTAGATTATTGCTAATATGAATTCATTACGTGCAATGATATTTCTTGAACTGAAATGTAATTGCACTGCACGTAACCTGTGAAAATTCAACATGCCACTGCTTGTAGTTTGTCTTGGGTATTCAAATTCTAACAATCGTCAAGGCTATTGTTTGCGTCTTTTGGGACACCCTCACCTGTAGTATTGAAAACCCACAGTCCATACTTTATTTGTTCACCGTAAAAGTCAGATGAGCTGAACAATAATGGACTAACGAGATCAACATTTTGCGTATCCAATATTCAATAACATTTACAATATTCGTTCGCTTGCATGAATACCCATATACTTATTTGTTTACAATGAATTAAGTCATAAGAACCATATACTGATATAGGCGATAAATTCATAAAAGCACCGCGCTAGATTGACAATAAAAATTCATCGCCTTGATGTATATGTATTTGTCTAAGTGCGGGAAGAAATATATCCTTGTTCTGAAAATGTCTATCTTCTGTTCCGATCCTGCATTACTGCGTATACAATTACGTGATTAACAATATCTATTCGCTTGGGTATATGAGCTATAATATATTCAATATTTGACATATAAGAACCATATAAGCTATAGCCGATAAACTAATGAAAGCACCGCTCTAGAGATGAGAACATTGCTTGATGTATACGTATCTATATAAGAGCGGCAAAAATATATCCTTGTTCTGAAAATGTCTATCTTCTGTTCCGAAATGCGTATACAAGATTACGTAAAGGCCGAGACACACCGGACGCGAATCGACAACACGACGCAAATTTTTAGTTTCCAAAAGCTGATAAAACACTCAATGAAAGAAGATTTTAAAAAATATGTCAAGCAAATAATTTAAAATGTTATAGCGCGTCTAAATATATGCAGAATTTGAACCAGGATCAAAGTTATCGGTCAGTGAAAATCGTAAAATCGCGTCGCGTTGTCAAATCGCGTCCGGTGTGTCTGAACATTACAATATCCATTCGCTTGGGTATATAAGCTATAATATATTCAATATTTGTCATATAAGAACCATATAGGCTATAGCCGATAAACTAATGAAAGCACCGCTCTAGATTGAGATGAGAACATTGCCATGAAAACCATGTAGCCGATAAACGAATAAAGGACTCCTCTAGGATTGAACAATGAACGTTTATGCATCGCCTTCATGTATATGTATCTGTATAAAAGCAAAAAAAATATATCCCTGCTGCATATCCCATTTATCTAGTACCTACAATATTCGTTCGCTTGCATATATTCATCCCCATATACTTATTTGTTTACTATGAATTAAGTACGTCATAAGAACCATAATATACTGATATAGGCGATAAATTCATAAAAGCACTGCGCTAGATTGACAATAAAAATTCATCGCCTTGATGTATATATGTATCTGTCTAAGTGCGGGAAGAAATATATCCTTGTTCTGAAATATATTCTTGTTCCGATCCTGCATTACTGCGTATACAATTACGTGTTAACAATATCCATTCGCTTGGGTATATAAGCTATAATATATTCAATATTTGTCATATAAGAACCATATAAGCTAAAGCCGATAAACTAATGAAAGCACCGCTCTAGATTAAGATGAGAACATTGCTTTGAGAATCATGTAGCCGATTAACACATGAAAGGACTCCTCTAAGATTGAACAATGAACGTTCATGCATCGCCTTCATGTATATGTATCCATGTATATGTATCTGTATGAAAGCAGAAAAAAAACATATCCCTGCATATCCCATTTGTCCAGTACCGACGGCTCTAATATTTTGTCCACTCCCCCCAATTTTAAAAGTGACTTGATGATCGACCTTTGGCCCGGAAAATGCAGACATCCGGACAAACGGACACGAATCGAGATTTCGACTATACATAGTTCGGCGCGGAAGACTGGGTCGAATGAACTCTGGAGAAATCTCTGCCGTGTCAAGAATAGTGTGCTGCCTCGCTACGCTCGGCAGCAACAAGCGAAATATGTACGGTACTGTATTTATCAACCTTGTCCAGTTTCACCTACATTATATAAGGATATAATATAAGGGCAGTGGACTAAGTTATACAGAATACTTACCAAATAGTTGCTTCGGTTTGTACTCAGATCATTAAAAGACTTTTCATTCAGAGTAAAACACTTTCATTACTTTCATCACTTTACTAACACCATCAGTTGGAGATTATACTTAGCAGAATTATAACAACACACTAGAATGAATTTCATAACTTTCACTGGGTGAAAATTCAATAACAAATGCCGGTTACAACAGAGCTGTATACTATAATTTCATAACATAACAAGAAAAAGTAATGAAACAATCGCTAACGACGCGTGCTCTAATCAGTCATGATCCCTTACACATCCCTTGATATCATAACTGACTGACCAACATGCAGACTGATAACCTCTTTTTTAGACGCGTCTAAAACTAAAAAAAATACTAATATATACAATAAACTACAAATCTTACAATTGTAATCTAAATGAAATATATAGAGTGATTTGCACCACAGGGCCTTTTGAAATCGAATTGGTATGCCGGACATTTCTCATCAACCATTCAGTCGCTCACAGGGAGGTTAGCAAAATAAAGCAATCGTTCAGTGGGATTATCTTGTCACATCTCTATATATAACCTGTTGAAATGAGGATAAACAAAGTTTCAACAGTTTTTGTACAGTGAGTGGTGTTTTTGTAGACAAGTGGGGTTTTATTTCAAGTACGTACTGACTTGTTAGTGCATGTTCAGTGGTGCTCACTATTATCGGTACAGTGTGACACCACTGAACAAGTTAGTGCATGTTCAGTGGTGTCACACTGTACCGATAATAGTGAGCTTAAGCAAGTGACGTTTTTAACAACACGTATACGTTAACCGGAAGTAAAGTATTGTTTTTCACCAATCACAATCCTTGACCCAGTCTTTTCACGTTGCTCATGCCGTTTGTGTTGTCAAAAACGTCACTTGCTTAAACTCACTATTTTATTGCCGTTGTCATTACTAGAAATTTGCGACATTATGATTTGCGACATGTGTTGCATCTATACTAATTTGCATTTCACCCTTACATAATGGCCTTTTATTTTTTCTATAGTGAAATTAAGCAGTAGCGTAGCCAGCCTGTCGATTTGTCGCGCTATGCTGATACTTTCGTGTTAACGTTCACTGACTGTGAAAACTATAGATTTTTAAAGACATCAATAATTATAATAACTGGAAATTTACATAGCGGGACAAAATCGTCAGGCTGGCTACGCCACTGAAATTAAGTACAAAACTTGAAATTGTCTTGATCTTTCCCACTGTTCACCGACCGCTGGATCAATAGAGCAGCCGTTTCGCAACATATATTTTTATGTTCGGTTAACTGACTGTGTTCAAATGTTCATATAGGTTATCATGGTTGAACTGCCTGATGATTCTGATAATATTTTTTGGAGTGAATGTTCATATGGTTCATTTAAAATTTCGGTCACCAAAACGTTTCTAAACAGCTGTTCAATCCATCTTGAGGTCGCCAAACAGTGCTCGAAGTCTTTGGTTGGAAAAATTCTACGTTTTATATTTTAACTCAATGCGTTTTATATCGTAAAACTTAAATGCCATTATAATTTATATGTATTGCTAAAACGCAAATTAGTGTACAAGTGACAGAAATTTAGTCACAAATTTCTAAAGCACTGACGCTCAGGTGTTTAGCTAATTTACAGACCATATAATTATTATTCACTATGCGAGCAGTAAGTAAAAGAAAGTCTAGTCTATTATCTAACCCAGCGTCCTGGAATGATTGTGGTCTCAGTTGCAATCCACAACGACACCACGACTATCTTCGCAGTCCCCGGGATTATTATTCCATCCATTATGACTGCAATCCCAGATGAATGCTTCATCACCAGAGCACTGAACATTAGAAAGGAATACGGGACCACTTCCATCGCCAAAGCGATAATCGGACGTGATCGAGGTCACTCCTGAGAAACCCAACTGACGGCAAATGACCTTACCTTCAGTAGTTGTCAAGTCTCCATTATCGTGTCGATCACAGACTTTGCCCCAGCCAAGTGTTGGATGATATATTTCCACTCTTCCACTCATATTGTTACTTGAACCATTCAATCTGATTTTCAGTTCAGAGTTGGCTATAACATAGACAATTACACATGTAAGAGACGACAACTTCCAGTTGATTTTTAGTCCTTTAGTCCAAGTGTCTCTTTTCTCTCGGACAAATATGTACTACGATATATAAATGACAGAGTTACAAAAAGAGTTCATCCCTCAAGTTTTGAAAGCCTTCCTCAAAATGACGTTACGTCACTGAGTCAAGTGGCATTTTGTATCTCTATCTTATTCTTGGAGACTTAACTTGTACTAAAAGCACTTGTAAGCTATCGCTGAAGAACGGCGCAGTGTTGACATGCTCAATAGAAGCTCCTGTCGTGAAAATTCCGTGTGTTTCAAGACGCCGACGATCAAAGGTCAAAACGCAACCGTTATCCATCAGACGCAAAGTGGCTGTTGGAACACAAATACTTGTTCAGGCCTCCATCGCGACCTTATTGCTACAATTGTCTGGAGATATACACTGTAATCCTGGACCTATAGATATGGCAAAGAGCAACAAACGATGTCTGTCTTTTAACGCAAGGAGCCTATGCAGCACAAATAAACTCTCTGCGGCGACCTGGCTGAAAGATTCCATTAGCGACAAGGAAATTCTACCATATGGTTATCATATTTTACGAAAAGATCGTGCGACTAACATGCGTGGAGGGGGAGTGTTGTTAGCGCTGCGTAACGACATTGAATACAACCAAATAACATCTGAACATTGGTCGGAATTTGAAATCGTTGCCGCTGAGTTTTTAGACAACGCTGGCACTAAATGCCTCGTTTCAATATGCTACCGTCCACCGAACTGTAATCTTGCGGCGTGGCTGGATCTGTTTACAAAATTTCTACAGCTGACGGAGTGTTATGATAAAGTACTTATTACTGGTGATTTTAACTTTCCGGAGTTAACATGGGAGTCAAATTTGGTATCAAACTCAACTGAACTAACGTCTGTTTCGGCCGTAGAGTTTCGTGAACTTATTTATGATTTCTACCTACAACAAACTAACACACATCCAACGCGACTGGCTAATATTCTTGATTTAATCATCACAAATTGTCCTGAAATCATTTCTGACATATCGTGTATATCGCCAATTAATATGGACATGTTTAGCGATCACAAACTACTGTTCTTTGATTTTTGTTTGCATACTAAAGCAACATGTTTGGATTCACGTAAAGTTTTTAATTATCGATTGGCAGATTGGGAAGGTTTGTTTGAAAAACTCTCGCAAATCGACATAACTTCAAACGTTGTTTGGACTGGCGACAGTGGCGCAAGTGATGGCGACGTGCGTAACCACGCAAGTGCTTACAACGTCACGACTGAGAACATCGATGAGATTTGGCGCTGCTGGAATGAGCTTTTTTTAAAAGCAGTAACTCAATATATCCCAACCAAAACTATACGCAGGCGCAATACACCTCCGTGGTTCGATAGTGAACTAAAACACCTTATAAATAAGAAAGAGACGGCTAGAAGGAAAGCTAAAATAACCGGGAAAACTCAGCATGTCGAAAAATATCATCTGCTACGTCGTTTGACAAAAAAATTAATCTCAAAAAAACGTTACGACTTTTATCAAACTTTACCTAATGTTTTAAAACGCAACCCTAAGAGATTCTGGTCTGTGTTTAAGACGGTGTCCAACTCATCCAGTGTTCCAAATAAACTCTACTGGTCACATGATGACATTACGTCCACAGCAGAAACCCCTACTGATATTGCCCACTTGCTGAACACTTACTTCAACTCCATGTTTAAAGCTCCATTGACAAATGAACAATACGAACATTATACCGTTGATGCAGTGTTATGTGAGGCATTAGACGAAATATTGATTTCGCCAGATGAAGTCGAAGCAGTACTTCAATCATTAGACACGGAGAAAGCAACTGGACCTGATAAGATCCCAGCATTACTACTGCAAATTTGTGCTCCACACATCTCCACAAGCCTCTCTCGCCTGTTCAACAAATCAATGGCACTCGGTCAATTTCCAACTGACTGGAAATTATCTAACGTTGTCCCCGTTCCTAAAGGTGGAGCGATGAAATCAGCCACCAACTACCGCCCAATCTCATTACTACCCATTGTGTCCAAAGTCCTAGAGCATTGCGTTTACAACAGATTGATTGAACATGTCTCTAATCACCTCCACCATCTTCAATTTGGTTTTCTGAAAGGGAAATCAACAACCATGCAACTGCTACATGTCCTATGTGAAATTGGCGAGGCTCTTGACAACCGTGTGCAGACAGACTCCATCTACCTGGATTTCGAAAAAGCGTTCGACAGGGTTGACCATCGCCTCCTAGTTAAGAAACTTCGCCAATATGGTGTCTCTGGTAGTTTGTTGCAGTGGTTCGAGAGTTACTTGTTGGATCGCCACCAGAGAGTCACTGTACTTGGTGCAACATCTGCACCAGTGCGTGTACTATCTGGAGTGCCACAGGGTTCAATTCTCGGACCACTGCTCTTCCTGATCTACGTCAATGATCTCCCGTTGACGGCCACCACCTCGTCTTCCACTGCGTTGTTCGCTGATGACACCAAGTGTTCTCATCCCATCAACAACCGTGGTGATGTGAAAGAACTGCAGAGTGATCTGGACAACATCTGCGATTGGTGTGATACGTGGAGAATGGACCTTAACCAGTCCAAGTGTGTCCACCTCAGAACAACAAGAAACCTGAAGCCCATCGAATCCGGCTACCATATCATGGGTAAGCCCGTAAACTCGGTTACTGTGCACAAAGATCTTGGTGTCTTAGTTACGCCCAACTTGAAATGGAACCACCATGTCACTTCAATATCCACCAAGGCCAACAAGATGTTGGGACTCGTGAGGAGGTCATGCCACGACGTTCGTGACATAGAAGTTCGTTCTGTCCTCTACACCACCATGGTACGAAGTCACTTCTGTTACGCATCGCAAGTCTGGGCTCCACAAACAGTCATGCTCATCAAAAACATCGAACGAGTTCAATGTCGAGCGACCAAGTTTATTTTACCTCTCCCGTTTAGAACCCCAATCAGCTACAAAGACCGCCTCTTAAAGACCGGACTCCTACCACTAACATACTGGCACGAATATCTGGACCTCCTCCACCTATTCAAACACCTTCAAAACTCCACTGATCCCAATATCTCTGTCAAACAACCTGGTCGTGCTACGAGAAGCAATCCAGCTGAAAACCCTAACCTTATCACCTTGAACATCCCTAAAGCGAACACTCTAACATTCCAAAACAGCTACCACTGCAGAACTCCAAGAATATTCAACTCTCTACCAACCCACCTTCGTAACTCCCAACTATCTGTTCACCAATTCAAAACTGGACTTCTGTCACATTATAGACACCTAACCGAACAAATATATGACGTAGACACTCCTCAAACTTTTAAAACAGTATGTATTAAATGTCATCTGTGTCGTTCATTATTAAGTCGTAGTGTTAAACTGTGTTGTTAAGTCACTATTTGTATAGTTTAATTTTAATAATTCTTGTAGTTACTTGTATCGTCTGTATTCTACTCAATTTCTTGCCTATGAGTTATGTAGTACTGTAATAACTTCATTGGGACAAGTCACATAATTCACAAATTACGAATAACGAAAGTACGAACCTCTGTAATGAGGAGTAGTTTGGGCATATAAAGCTATAGTTAAACGCGCGTTCTCCCCTGCTGATGACGGAAATTAGCTACAGTGGAAAGTAACTCAGTGGAATCATGTAGCTGCTTCAGTGACAATCAGAGTAGTAACCAAATGCGTGGCAAGACAGAACAGCTTGCGAAATATTTCGCGAGCAAAAGCGCGATGGCAAGGCAGAAAACGTTTAGAACAGACTTTACAAAGTAATATAACTGTAAGTCAAGTCAAGAACCGGTGCAAATTAAACTTTTCATGATTATCAAACTGTAAATTGACCTTACCAATAGAAAAAAAATCATTCACCTTCGCGTAACATTACATTTAAAAAAAAATTGATGCCGATGCAGGGAGACATACAAAAACGTGCAAAAAATGTCACAATACTCAGACAAAAGCTATATTGTTTAATTTCCAAACTTTTCTTGCAACAGTGACTCTTTTTCAGCGATTGTCAAAGCAACTCTATTAATCTGCATGCAGTAAAATTTTAAGGTTCCAGTCAAGATTGGGATTCTTGTGATTGTAATATTTATGGTATTAAACAATTAATTTATGGTTTCCGTACGTGTTTGGGAATATTGCTTGAATGAGGAAAAGCTCGCACGCTTTTCCTAACTTTTTCAACATTCTGCGTGATTGGATTAGACTACGTAGGATAGGATTTAGATTATCAAAATACAGAAACTGTAAAGTAATTGTTTTAACAAAATAACAGCAACAAGGTAAAAACAAATGAACATTATATGGTTCTGAATCTTCTATGGTTGATACAATGTTAGGCAGATAGGAGTATGTGTATCTATATGTGAGAGTATCTACATACCTGCACAACTTCCTTCCTTAAAAGTCGACCCATTTTTGCACATACAAATGTAAGAACCTGGAGTGTTGTTGCATGAGCGCTCCAGACCTGTAAGATTGCACGGGGATGGCACGCATTCATCAATATCTAAACAAATTTATCAGAAGAGACTAGAAAATATCTCGATGACATAAAATTCAGGGCACAGTCCAAAACGAAAAAAAAATTAAAATACAAAAAAAAACCGTCCGGCAGAACTGAGTAAATAAATACCCCTTCCCTCCATTCATTGTTCTACTTTCGGCCCTGATAAACTTCGATGTTTCAATACAACGAAATTGCACCCCTGATTTTTATGGTTGCACTGTAAAGAATACTTAAAATGACTGAATAGTAAAATGGCTTTTGTACAATTTTGAATTATTTTCATCATTTTCTTCATCATCAAGATATTGAACTTTCCAAGATCTCCTGCAAATAGCACAACCAATGACACCACACTGCATGATGAGTGCATGGAAAAAATATAAGGCGGTCTATACCATACGATTTATCCTGTTTTAAAAATTTTATGGGAGCAATCATACTTGTCTCCCTAATAAATTCTGAATATTTTTCCTTAAAGAAAACGCGGGAGTTAAACGAAAAGTTTTAGCGTGAGCAAACAAAAAAGGTCGATTGGCTTATTCTATTGTTTCATGGCTCTATTGTATTGTTCTCTATAATTTATGAATATATGCAAAACTTTTTTCTTCGCAAACTAGATAGCAAACTAAAATTCACTTACTTTCGTGCACGATAACTCAAAAAGTAATAAAACTTGGTGAAATTTTCTTGGTCGACAATTGGCTCGGAGGTGAACCTAAAAGTTGTGTATTCCATTCAGGCTAAGTAAAATACCGACTGTTTATTTTAGATTTTAGAGGCTTTTTATTTATAGACTGCCAAACGTTTAATTATTATTATTATTAAGTCTTTACATATAAAATCTAGCCACAACAGACGTGTGACCTTACAATTTAAACTAACATATACTAACATATACAGGAATGGAATAGAATTATTAATGTACAATATCTATTATGACTAAAGTTATTAAAAGTCAATCCTTTAAGTTTTACTATTAAGATTATTAAAATTTAAGATTATTAAAGTTAGCTAAAATTGTTAAAAAGACATCTATTTAAAAAAGACCTTTTAAATCTTTCTGTTTCGACTTTGGGTAGAATAAAATCATGTTCTCGTTCCCTTAAACGCTTTTTCCTTTTAGGTGGAAGTAGTTTGTATAAAGGGTGGTCCAGGTTACTACATATTTTACCAAATAGGATTTTGTCCTTTTCCTCGATCACATCCATTATTCGAACACATTTTGTTGTGTATCCATATTTATATGCTCTCCGTAAAAATTGATCAACCCGTTCTCGATATTTCTTCTCAAGGGCGGAACCCCATATTTCAATTCCAAAAGAAAACAGCGACATAATAAGGGCATCGAAGAGAGTTTTTAACTGTTTTTTGAGTAACCGTATGATCTGCACATCCTCAAAATGTACATTCGACTACTAGCTCTAGTTAGCAAATTGTCAACTTGAATGTCCCAACACGACGGATCATTCTGCAATGTTATTCCCAACAGTTTCAGCCAAGATTTACGCTTAATACCCTCTATTTGGTTTGGCGGAGAATTTTTTGATTTACGACTTATAACCATTTCCCAAGTTTTACCTAAATTTAATGACATTTTGTTTCTTTCTGTCCATTCTTTAATATTGTCTACTTCAGCTATTGCGGAATCATAATTCTTTCTCACTGGAACGCTGAGAGTCATGTCGTCTGCAAATTTGACTAGAATGTTGTTATGTGGATCTTTGACTGCCAAATCGTTCATCATCAGGGAGAGAATAAAAAGGGGCCAATAACTGTGCCTTGTGGTACTCCTTTATTAGTACCTACATAGTTTGTTTCGATCCCATTTAGTATTACTCTCTGTCTTCTATCTGTCAAAAAATTGACAATCCAGTTTATTACGTATGGGTTAATGGTTGTTTCTTGTAATTTTTTGCTGATAATACCATGAGAAACAGAATCAAAGGCCTTCTTTAGATCAAATGAAATAACTCTGACATGGTCGACGTCGTTATCCAGCCAGTTTAGCCATTTATGATGGCACATTATTAGAGCATCAGTTGCACTTGTTCCTTCTTTATATGCGAATTGGTCACATTTTATTATTTGCTTTAATTCTGATGAGATCTCTTTCTTAAGAACTATTCTTTCGAATAGTCTCATTATTACATTTGTAAGGGATATAGGCCTTAATTGAGTACATTCCGTAAGAGGACTTTCCTTAGGTACTGGGTTGAGGTTGGCGGTTTTCCATAAGAGGGGAACACATTGTTGCTCTAGTGACATGTTGAATATCTTTGTTATAACTGGGGCTAAGTATTTTGCAAAGTCTTTCCATAACCAATATGGTAGGCCATCTGGCCCTGCCGATGTTTTCTTTTGTTTTTGCAAAAACCTTTCTACCGTGAATATGTCAACATGTGGTACTCTAGTAGAATTTGGTATAGGGGCGATTTCCGGAGATGTGTAGTTGTCATCTGTATTCATCGCCTTGAAATAGCTATTTATGACATCTGGATCTATATCTATACATGTGCGGTTCGCTTTCCTTCCAGTAATTTTATTTACTGTGTCCCACCATTTCTTCGACCCGGATACATATTTTCCATTTGTCTTCTTAACTGCTCTAATCATGTTTTCTCTGATGAGCTTATTTATTTTCCTTTGTAAGTCCTCGTTTATTCCTTTCTTTGCGCTTTTATTACGCATATTGCATAAATGTTTTACCAGAGGAGACATATAAGGAGGATCACGTGTAGATAATTTTACTTTGATTAATGGGAAGCTTTTGTTGAAGGCCGAAGTAATAATATGATTTAGAAGTACAACTGATTCGTTCAAATCTCTACACTCTTCAATGCAGTTCCAGTTCTGTGCTTCCAACTCTCTCATCATAGCAGATTTTCGGTGGTCTCTTGCATCTCTAAAGTAAACTGATTTTCTCTCTGGTTTAATTGCTTCTCGCGGAGTTGTTATAATGATCAAATGGTCAGATTTTACCAGACTATCGAGAACTTTAGGATTTTTCCATAAATGTGGACAATTAGTTAGAAAAATGTCAAGTACCTTGTGACCTCTTGTAGGTTTTTTTACCATTTGTTCCATATTATGTTGACTTATGATGTCCTTTATCTTTAGTTGATTTATATCTCCTCCAATTATAATTCGGGCATTTGATTCACACTGGAGGATTTTCTCAATACTCTCTGATATATGATTCAGTAATTCGTTTTCTTCATATGTCGGATCCGGGGGGTGATACACGGCTGCAACATAGTATTTGCTATTTGTCGTCTCAATGTCGCACCAAATGCATTCCAAATTATTTCGGAAATTTAGAGGCTTACACTTCCAATCTTTCCGATAAATTATAGCAACACCTCCTCCATTTCGGCCATCACAGCGATCTTTTCTAATGATTGAATAATTATTTGGGCATATTAGGTGTGATGGTATCTTGTCGTGCAACCATGTTTCGCACACAAAACAAATATCGATTTCCCAGGTACGAAGCTCAACATCTAACGCAGAAGCAGCTTGAGGTTTAGCAAGAAAGCGAGCGTTTATAACCATGCATTTAGGTATGATCTTTTGTGCAGGTGGACCATTTCTAATAGGTTTTATAGTAACTAAATTCGGGTTGGAATATGTATTTCGCAGTGACATGTCTCTCCAATTTAATTTCGTATTTCGATAACTTATTCTCACTGGAATCTTGTAATAACTGGGAACGTGTTTTTGTGAGTTGTTATTTATCTCGACATAATCAGTTTTACTAGGCGTAAATGGTTCCTCCAATCTAGGTCCGTGGATTTTGGTCGATGTTGGTGGACATACCCCTGCTGTGGATGGTCGGGCGGGACTGTAACTATGCCTCCCCAAAAAGGGGTCACATTTGGTTGATTGAATTTGCTTCTTTGATTAATGCGGTATTTCTTTAACTGGTTCACAAAGGAATGAGAATTACTGTTAATTGCTTGGTGGCTACTTCTGTTTGGTGTATCTTCCATACAAGGGTTTTGTGCATCAATTGGGGTTAGTGGATTAAATTTCCTTTGCTGATGAATTTGATAATCTCTTAATTGATTCGCGAAGATATGGGAATTAATGAGGGTTTTTGTAGTGGCTGTAGGGGCTGGTGGATTGAATTTGCTTTGCTGATGAACTTGATAATCTCTTAATTGGCTCGTAAAAGAATGGGGGCTAATGAAGGTTGCTGTAGAGGTTCTGCCATCTGGTATATTATCCGTGCAGGGATTGAATGCATCAATGGGGACTTGTGGTTTTGATTTACTTGTCTGCTTCTTGTAATAGTCCCTTTGTTGATTTTTGTCTAATTCAAAACGTTCGCAGCTAACATTTTCACACTCTGGCTTGTTTACTTGATTGATCGAGTTTTTAATTTCAGAATCCACTTTAATAGTATCTTTTTGGGACTTTTCACCTGGTAATTTTGTTGGACTACATTCTCTAACGAGTGGAGGGTTCTTTTGCCTGTGCACCGGTTTAAGTGTTGGGATGTTACTATCACTTCTTTGCTTGTGTCTTGTGTCTGTCTCGGGATGTTTTTTGTTGGATAATTTGCTCTCCAGAGTGGCTATCCGTGATGTTAAATTCAAATTTTCACTTCTTAATTTGCATATATCTTGTTGACATGTGTTAATCACTCGATTTTGATCACTAACCTTTTCCAACAAATCTGCTATTTGCGATTCGGTTTTCCTTATAAATAAAGTAAGTTGTAATTCCGTTTCCAGTCGGGCTGAGGCATCGTTATGTGGTCGAAGCGGAGTAGATGTTGCACTTACTTGAGCAAAGTTTGGAGTGACAGTACTTATAGTATTATGAAAGGAATTATCAATAAAGTCCTCAAGGTCTTTGACTGTCAATTTATTTGCAGTCATGGGCTCAATATCTATTATTGAAGACGATCCCTTGCTCAAGTTTGTTTCTTCACACGTAGTTGTTACATTTGTAGGGCTGTTTATATCGATCAAACGGCTGTTTGATACTCCAGCGCTACAAACTTTAATGAGTGTGTCGGCTAACTCTTGACTTTCCTTTCCATGTAAAATCATGGTATTTTGCTTGCCCGGGTACCATGTTAGAGTTAAATCTCGGTCAGAGCACGTCAGTTTTTTTGAATTCCCTCCTGGCGAAGACCAAGTGCCGCGTAATTTCATGCCGTATTCGACGAAATCTTGCAGGGATTTTAGGCTTCCAGTCCATCTAAAGCGATTGCCATCATAGCTAAGATGTATGCAATCTTTATGGTTTCTAATTTCCTTAGGATTTTCTATTGTTAACAGCATATTTTGATATTTTGGCTTTCTTTGATATTTTGGCTCACTGTCCGCCATCTTGTTATATTGAGATCATCTAATTGATCATCTAATTAATACCGTAAACGTTTTATTTGTTGTAGGTTTAGCTCCAAGGCAAAGACTAGTGACTAAAAATTCAAACTGAGAGATCCCCATAAAATAACATTTCGAATTAAAAAAAACTAAGAACAGTGAACTTTTACCCAGTTGGACTGTATACATTTTGATAATTTTCCGTGAAGACAACTGATTTTCTAAAAACTCATTATGCAGTCTGATGTCATTAGATGCAATTCCATGGATATTATACAAAGTTCAATATCCTTAAAAAAAGAATGTTAACAGTGATATATTCAGTAATTTTTAATCCTCTTACAGATGTGCAAGTTTTCTAAGACAAGTTTTTATGTGACAAATTTTAATTGTTCGTCTTTACGCCTAACTTTACGTTCAAAATCAAGCGGTAGGCCAGCGGACTATAGTATTTTACAATGGCGCGCTCACTTTGTCCGCTGTACGATGACATCGCTGGATGCAAACTAAATTGTCAAAGTAAACTTGTTGGCACGTTCACACGAGCAAGTGAACTTGTCAAAGAGAAACTGCATGTCATAGAAATTTTGTTGTACACACACACTGCAATGTCATACAAAATCATACAAAAACTTGTCATGGAAAACTTGCTCGTCTGTAAGAGGCTTAAGAGTTCTTTACAATGCGACGACCATAAAAATAAAGGGCAAAATTTCGTTGCATAGGCATTTTTAGCTGTTCAGCTCACAGGAGAAGGTGGGTGAAAATGCAAGAATTTCAATTGTGAACCACCGAAATCGTATGACATAACTTGTTTTAGGGAGGGAGTAGTCAGACAAAAGAAGTCATAGTTGTCTATATTTTTTAATATATTCCGGGGACAAAAAAGGTAAAATAGGCCTTTTAAAGAGTATCTAGCCGAAATATATGGAGTAATAGAGACGTTGACGAGACGTTTATCAAATTGTGGCCGAGAAAGTGTCAAAAATCTAATTTTAAATGTTATTTAAAATTTGCCGTTTGATGTTCGCGGTTTGTCACATTGGTTAAGCTAAAGGTCTCTAATAACTCATATAAGACGCGTGCAGAAATTTGTTATTACTATACCTTTACAAGACCGTCCGTTGTATTTGAAACCTTTATCACAATGACAAACTTCTGTGCCATTAGTGTTAGAACAGTGGCCGTGAAGACATGAAATTTTTGTGCATTTTCCTGCGAAAAAAAAACCTCCATAAATTTGGTATTCTAAAGGAATATAATATCAGGTATACAAAATTTGGCCAACTTAGCCTGAAAGCATGGTCGGTAGCCACTTTGACGGTCGATATAGCATAATTCAAATACCTAATTAAATATAATTTACCTTATAGAATTTTATTTAAAACAGTAGATAGCTTTTTTGTGCAACTCCGACCAGCGATGCATGGCTAGTTGTTAATACGCACGTTGCGATGCATTACGCATACTGAATTTAAGCCAGGGCTGCTTTCCACTATCGCGTTTTTTGCAGGTAGGTACACGCACATAAAAGCTTGAAACTTTTTAAGCCGTTGTATAATATTATATATGCCAGAAAAAACATACCGAACCACCAGCATGCAGAATCTAACCCTATGCGAATATTCAATAGTTGATTTCATATTAAGTATTATTTAAATGATTCTAAACTTTCACGTGCGTGTACGTCGATGCCAAAAACGCGACAGTGGAAAGAAGCCCTAAGTTTCAAGATCCCCTTAGGTTTTTCCGAATCATTCCTTTCAGATAATTGGCATCGTTGGTTCTGGTATAAGCGCTTTTTAAGTATCTAAAGGGAACACGTGCTTGATATTTATGCTATTATACTGTATAGCCTCGATTAGTTTGTCTCAGTTTAATGATGCTATAAATGCTGATTGTTCAGCTTTTAAGTCTCCACCTTTGCTGTCATGGCAGAGTTGGTCATATCCCAAATATCTCGTTGGTCACATCCCAAACATCGAGAAAGAGAAACAAACATGAAATGGCACTTTAGAAGATTTGAAAGCTCTGGTTTTGATAGAAATTGATGAAGATACAATTCAAAATACTGTATAGCGCTCGCCCGTGGTGGTAAATGGTCGTTTGAAAGCAAAGTGTTTACAATTACTTGGCATGACAAGTAAGCATTACAAGAGCAAGTATATATACTTCGGAGGGGATAAGGGCAAAGAATTAATAGAACGAGTACAACACTCTTTGAAACAAAGGGAAAATGCCTCAGACAACGGCTATGCTGACGAACTTCAGGCGGCGGAGTCGCTCGAAAGTTTTCAAAAGGACGACTCAGATGAGGCAAGCCTTATCGATTATACTTCTCAAAATTCATCTAGGAGAGATGATGAACGTATATTTGCATTTGTTATGAAAACAAAGGAACTTAGGAATCTAAGTATACTAGCTATAGACATCAAGATATCGAAATTAATCTATTGAAATTGAAACTTGATAGAATTGCCAAAGATGTGACAAATAAACTAGACAATCTCGCCGTTAATTGAAAACAAACTTTATGCCATCGTGATTCTGGAAGGCGCAATTACTGAGCTAAAGAAAGAAAGGCAGGATTTACAAAGAATGAACGACGAAGCTTAGCAACTATAATATACATATATATATATATATATATATATATATATATATATATATATATAATATATATATATATATATATATATATATATATATATATATATATATATATTATATTATATAATAATATATATATATATATAATATATATATATATATATATATATATATATATAGATATATATATATATGAAGGAAATATAGAATTTGTTTCTGATATCGTGTAGGCTATATGAGCTAAATCTCCTGGGATTTTCTGGTTAAATAAATAAATTCAATATCTCATTCAATTGAAGGTTTGGATTAAAAAAATCTACTCAACTGTCGCCTTTGTTAAATAACTATTCACCCAACATTTTATTTCTCAGAAAACTGGCTTGTTACCTAACTAATTTATTTATCTTTGGTAATAATGAACACTTTGCAAGCTTTTCACGAGTTTTCATGCAGTTTTAACAGCAGAAAAATGCATGTGTGCCCAAAAACATGAAATTAAATACTAAATTTATATCTCATCCAAAACAGTAAGTTTGATTCCTCTATAAATCAAATTATACTTAAAAGTTTATAAAATGGCATTATAATACTACGAAATGATTAGATTTACATACCTTACCGACTTCTAAATCACAGATTTCGCTATCGCTTTTAGCGTATTTTTAGCCATCTCTGGGAACAGAATTTTTTCCCCGAGACTTCTTCTCAATTTTTCGCGCTGCTTTGACCCCCCCCCCCGTTTCGCACCTCCTACATCTCTACTATCCCTGCATGTAATATATATTAACCCATCGATTTCTTATTTTAAAATATATTTTAATTATCCAAAAAAATCAAATTTTAATTTTGATATTTAATTTTAAAGGCAAGAATCGAAACATGTGATAAAATACCAGGTGTCCCAGAAAAAAGTACTCCGGTTTGATTCATAATAGCTTCTAAACTAGCTAAGCTATTAAACTGAAATAACTTTCGCTAGATAGAGGGAAGATTAACTTAGATTTTGATAGATTACAGTTGTATTTTACTTTAAAATGTACGGAGATATCAATGTTCAAAATTGGTAGCATATTTCTGGATGTGTCTAAATTATGCAAGAAACGCCGTATCAAATATTAATCAAGCTTTTCCCAACTGAAACATGCACTATTAGCAGTAAATAAATGACACTTGAAAATTGTTTATTATGAAACGAAGTATTATTATTTAATGAAGAAAATAATACAGCCTTTTTGCAATTACACATATAACAGTATCAGCGCTATTGTTTTCATTACGTTTTGTTCGAAAAATGTTGGATGTCTCTGGGGAGTTGCATGTTGTGCCTTATGGAATTATGGTTTGAGTGTGTTTTATTTTGAGTTTATCGTGAATATGCCAAGATTAAGTAAAGATCAAAGAGTATGGGTGTGTTTATTTACTGCTAATAGTGCATGTTTCAGTTGAGAAAAGCTTGATTAATATTTGACACGGCGTTTTTTGCATAATTTAGACACATCCAGAAATATGCTACCAATTTTGAACATTGATATCTCTGTAAATTTTTAAGTAAAATACAATTGTAGTGTATCAAAATCTAAGTTAGTCTTCCCTCTATCTAGTGAAAGTTATTTCAGTTTAATAGCTTAGCTAGTTTAGAAGTTATTATGAATCAAACCGGAGTACTTTTTTCTGGGTAGACTATTTAAAAACTATATGAAAATACTTCTCGACGTTTCGACCTAGAAGCCTTCGTCAAGAGAGAGAGTATGAAAATAAATTGGAGAAAACACATGTTTTGTACGGGGGAAAAACATGTGTTAAAAATAGACCAATGGGAAACAATTCTAAATCATATTGGAATACATTAGATTGTCAAAAAGACGCCCGATTGCAGGACAAAAATTGCCAGGAATTGAGAGAGACTGATATGACAATATTTAAAACTAATCACGACCAAAGGAAACATTATGTTTTTTGAACCCGAGAGCGGTTGGATACCATGCAGAGATGGAACGGAGGGCTCGAATTCTCATATCCGTGATGGAATGATTACCTGAGTTAAAATGCTTCGTAGTAAGGTTTGCTGCCTCCATCCTTGCATAAATGAAAGACTATCTTCAATTTAAGTCACCTTACCTGAGTAATATGATTCACCATTTCTTTGTTTACATGTTGTAATAATATTGTTTCTTGCTATATCAAGAGCTTCCTCGCCTGCTGACTATTTCAGGCGTCTCTTCGGCAACGTATTCCAATGTGTTTTGGTTTATTGTTTCCAATTGGTCTATATTTATCACGTGTTTCCCCCCCCCCCCCGTACCTAACATGGGCTCTCTCCAATTTACTTTCATGCTAACTCTCATGACGAAGGCGCCTAGGTCGAAACATCGAGAAGTGTTTTTGTCTATTTCAGGCAGTTATACCACATTTCGAGCGAAGCGGTTTGGAGACGCTGCCATGCTGCCCATTAGTTATATTGGAACATAGGGCAACAATTCAAACGACATTAGACGCACAAAGGAAATACCTTTCGCACCTTGCCAAAAAGCGAAGTTATGAATTGTCCTTACACTAACATTTACCAGAATGTATGAACATACCTTCAGGTTGTCGATCTTTGTCTACGACGAGAAGCTTTCTCACGGTGAAGCCTTTTGGTACCGGAATATAACGAGATATATCTCTGCTGGTAACATTCATTTTTATAATAATGGGTGAATTTCTTTCTTTCCAGTAAAGAAAATCTCCAATAACGTCCACTGACAAACGTCCCCCAAAACCACTTGAACCATAATTAGTTGTATGATTTCTGTCACGTCCATCGTAATTCATTTCAATTATGACGTTAGCTTCTTCGATTTCTTCGAACGCGTAAATTCGCTTCCTCTTGTAGTCAAGAGCCAGAACGTAATTTTCATATCTGTTGAAACCATATATTTGTTTTTCGTTGTTGGTAGCCAAGTGTCTTCGCATTATCTTTTCTCCATCACGACCAGTCCAAAATAAATATCTACATCGAACAACAATACAGAATCAAGCATTTGAAATAAACGACAAAATTTTTAATTGCAAACATGTTTCGTCTTAACTATAAGCCATCTTCAGTGCGAATGAATTAGTTATTTACATTATGAAATATAGAAATAAAGTAGAAATATGATACAGGCGAGGTATCAAGAACACACCTTCACTGACAAAAATTCGCACGTCTACAAAAACCTACAAAACCCTGCAAATCTAAATACACCCGCTCTTGCTTCACTACCCTAGACACTGCTAACACCTCCTTGTAGTGCCGTCTCTAAACAATCAATGCCGTCTCGAAACGTGCAGTGCCGTCTCTAAACAATCTCAGCTGAAATTCTGAGATATATTATTAAATAGTTTTAGCCCACTAATTTTTGACAAACGTCAGACGATTTTAGTTGTCAACGGGGAATCTCTGGAGCTTAATGGGTTAATACACATATCCTGGATGTGTACAAGTGTCTTGTTTACATCATACAGGGAAAATAGTTCAGTGGAAGTATGCCAATACATGTTTGTAATATTCCCAGATGCAAACAAGGCTGTTAGTTACATATATTGTTTTTAAATCAGGCCATGAATATATCTGTTTCTAAAATTGCAGCACTCAGATGGAGTGGACAAAGGCGCATGACTTTTTTCTGCTGAGGGAAATGCTAGCTTCTGACATCTTTCACCATAGAAAAGGAAGCCCTGACAGGGGGAGAATTTGGGATGAAATTACAGACAGACTTAATGCATCAAAAGACATTGTCTTTCGAGTAAAGGAAAAGAAAGGGGTTCGAGATAGATGGAATTTACTAAAGAACAAGTTCAAAAAGAACAGACGTGAGAAAGAAGCTGCAAGCGGTATTGAGGTGGATGAGCAGGATGAAAAAATATACTGATAGAGGAGCTCATTGATCAAGAGGAGACAACGCAAGAAAGCGTAGGAAGCAAGGACAAGGTTGATAAAGCTGCAGCAGAAGATGTAAGAAACAAAGCCCTAGAGAGATTGGGAGAAACCATGAAGAGAAAACAAGAGGTTGATGGTAATGATGCAACCAAGAAAACCAGAACAAGAAGAAGTACAGAAGGTACTTTATCCTTTTTAAAAGTGAAAGCTGAACAAGAGCTGGAGATAAGAAAACAAGACCAAAAGATACAACAGCAAGCTCAACAACAACAACTGCAACAGCAGCAACAGATTCTGCAGATGGTCCAAGCCCAGAATGAGCAAATGCACACACTCCAACAACAGCAGCTGCAACAAAATCAAGCTTTAATGATAATGCTACAAAAGGTTATTACTAACCAACCATAACTCCAAGCAAACACTTGCACCATTTTCCATGTTTGAACTTATCTGTTGAACCTAATACTGTAGCTTACAGTAATTTTGGTTGATGTTAATGTTTATATTGTGTTAAACTTGATATGCTGTCAAGGTTTATAGATATTTTCAACCAGACCATGCATAAAGAGATAAAAATGAAATGGAAGGGTTATTCTAAATGTTACATTTGGTGAAATAATTTCCCAGATACAAGGTTTATTCAATTCAAACATTTTATCCTTCCCCTCTACCATAATTGCGAACATGAATTATTTCAGGAAAGAAAGAAGAGTTCACTCTCCACCACCTTGATATTTATCTAGTTAAGTTTTTGTGTACAACTAAGAGATTTATTTAATAAAATATTCATAGAACATGTTGTTATGAATTGTGATATATACAGTTCATGCTGGTGGTTTAGGTTTTCCCTTGGCACCTTTCAGTCACATTTTCCATGCCAGTTTATTGAAAGTACTCTTCCAGTGTCGATGGGTCAAGTCCAAAGTACTCCGAAGTTTGATTACCATAAAGACAGGTGATGGCATTCCTCAGCAAAGCACAAACTACATACATTTTGTCCACACTGCTTAAACCGATTTTTAGATTCTTCTTAAAATCTGTAAACTTGAAAGAGTTAGCAATGTCTCCAAATAGCCACTCAACTGCAATTCTTACTTGACTCATCGACTGGTTCTATTCCTGCATCAGTGGTCTAAGTCGTGCTTCCCGGAATCCCTGCCACCGGGGAACCTCTCGAAGACGAGGTAAGTCCTGCTTTAACACACGAAACTCAGCCTTGCATTCGGCCTCTTCTACATCGTCGAGGGAAATGGCAGGATAGGTATCGTAGCAAAAATCTGGGTTTTTCGACAAGAAAGAATTATACATGACAAAAAATTCTATATCAGAAATGAAGTTGCTATCGTATGAAAGTACAAGCAATTCTCGCAAATCTCTAAACGAAGAAATTTCCGTACGATCAAGATGTTTTGACCGTCGCCTACATGATTGTTGTTTGCTAAAGTATTCGAAATTTGGCGGGAACGCGACGCGAAGGTGTTGTGTCAGTTCCAGGCCCTTCGCGGTCACACGCGTCGCCGTCGCTCAGAAAACGTTGCGTGCTAAAGGTCCCTTATAAATAACACTAGAGGAGGCATTGGTATCGCAAACATCAGTCAAAAAAGGGAGCGCGTTAATGGGGGGCAAATTCAAAACTCGGATGCTAAGCCAAGCGCCTATTAGCAACCACGTTAGCAAAAAGTAAAATTTACACAAGAATGCATTAAAACAGTAACTGCAACTTGTAACTACATGCAGACTAGTGTGTGAGCCCGACAGTAAGAACCTTTTTCAGTCCCAACCACAAAAGGATCGCCATGTATGCACCATTTATTTGTACCTTGTAACTACAATTTTAATAAATTGAGAAACTTTGTCTTACATATTGTAAACAAACTAATACAGGGTGTTTACCCTGTAACCTATTACCTTTTCTCAGCCTCTTTTTGCGCCTGTAAAGCTAAGAATCGCCAATAACTCCATGCGTCGTGTTTTGATGTTAAAATTTCACTTAATGTCACATTAATTCTAGTTTGGATCCTATGAAATCACTTCGACCCAAATTCAGAGGGTCATTTTATATATTTGACACAATAAATCAACTAACTGTGCACTGACCGCATTCTCCAACATCGTCTTATATAAAAAAAGTTAAATTATCATAAAAAACTTTGTGCGTTGTATTTTTTTTCTAAACCGAGTGCCGCCATTGTTGTTCTCGAAATATGTGCCTATTAAATTACTTTAAGCAAGTTTTAGAGCCCCATTTGAAGATAGTTTAAACAAAAACAATAAACTGTTAACTTTGGCAAATTGGCAATCCTTTTACTACTCCCAAAAGAAAGCCCCCTTACCGAACTTAAACAGCTGCGACCTATTTCCTTAACCAAAATAATAATGCGCCTGTTCGAGAGAGCTATTCATAAAAACGAGCTAGCTCCATCCATGCAAAACTTTATTGACAGTGACCAATATGCTTATAGGAAGGGTAACAATTCCACAATGGCGCTAATAAAAACACAACATACGTGGTTAGAATGGTTGGATGGCAACGCCAAGATGGTCAGAGTCTTTTCGTTTGATTTCAGCAAAGCATTTGACACTGTACCACAAGATATATTATGCAACAATTTAAAGATGCTTGCTATAGACCCTTAAATAATTAACTGGAATATTAGCTTTTTCACAAATAGGCGTCAACGAGTTGTTGAGGGGTCCCTCAAGGAACAGTTTTAGGACCGATATTGTTTTCAATCATTATTAATGATATAAAACCTGTCTCACCATCTAACATAATCGTGAAATTTGCAGATGATATTAATTTAGGAGTTAAAGTTACTATTGATAATGACAATTCAGATGAAGAAACTAGAAACATTAGTAACTGGGTGGATTCAAATCGTATGGTATTATAGGAGATGGTTATTCGCGGAAAAATATCATATCGATTGCCTGATCCATTACCTATGATATCTCAGAAAAGTAGGTTCAAAATCCTTGGGATAACGTTTCAAGAGTATCCATTTATTTGGGACATGCATTTTTATGAATTAATGAATAAAGCTTGTAGCACAATGTATATTAGAGACCTTAAGATCGACTACATGACAGCGACGGTATTCGGGGCCCGAGGCCCGGGTCGAGACTACCGTTCTCACACTAAATTTGAAGCCTTAAGAATTTTTAAAAACAAAGACGGGAAAAGTCGAATGGCATCTTTTAAACACAGTCGAGAAATTCTGCTGGAAAGTTTCGATGATGGTACTATCGATGAAGAAGAATTTCTACTTCTTAATGAACTGCACTTCTCGAAAAACCCAGAGTTTCCATATAAACATATCGGCGAGTTTGATTTTCATGAGATGAATGATTTTGAATGTATGGCTGAGTTTCGATGCAGGAAAAGTGATATAGAAATGCTTGCCGAATTATTAAATCTACCTCAAAAATTTGTCTGCCCACACGGATCAGTATGCAGTGGCATTGGGGGCTTGTGTATCTGCCTAAAACGACTGACATATCCATGTCGCTATTCTGATCTTATACACCGATTTGGAAAATCTACCCCTGCATTGAGCATGATTCATAACGAAGTGGTTGATTTTATCTACAAGGAGCATGGGCATTTGGTTACAAGATGGAACCATTCCTTTCTCAGTTCCAGAAACCTCCAAATATATGCCCAAGCAATCTATCATAAAGGGGCAGCTTTAGAAAACTGCTTTGGGTTCGTAAATGGAACCGTGAGACCCATCTGCCGCCCCAAAAAGCTCCAGAGATCAGCTTTTAATGGGCACAAACGAACTCACGCCATTAAGTTTCAACCAGTTTCTTTGCCAAATGGATTAATTGCTCATTTGTATGGACCTATAGGTTGGTAATAGGTTTAAATTTTGGTTACTTCTGTTTTGAACATTTTCTCTCCACTGTTATAGTAAGCTACATGTGTTAATTAGTGGAAGTTTTGTCACACGTTTTACTGGAGGTGCACCCCAAAACATTGAAAGATAAGCAGTGTACTCACCCACCCCCCCCCCCCCGACACACACACTTTCTCTAAAATTCAGGACTGGATCAACCAAATACATTATGCATGTATATATTCTTTATGCAATGTTCTTTTCGAAATGATTTTAGAGGGAAAGAAACATGATGCCTCTATGCTTGCTCAGTCAGGGCTTCTTTCACACCTTGAAAGATTTGCAATCTCAGAGGCTGGCCAACCAATGTGCATGTATGGAGACCCAGCCTATCCCCTACGTGTTCACCTCCAAGCCCATTTCCGGAATGCAGTGGTAACAGCCGACATGGAAAGATTTAATAAATCCATGAGCTCAGTAAGGGTGTCAGTAGAATGGTTATTTGGAGACATAATCAACAGATTTAAATTTATGGATTTTAAGAAAAATTTGAAAGTGGCCCTCAGTCCTGTTGGAAAAGCTTACATTACAAGTGCAATTCTTAGTAATGCATTATCATGCATGTATGGTAACACAACATCAACATTCTTTGGTCTTGAACCTCCCAATCTACAAGAATACTCACATCCACAAAATCATTAATTAAAGAAAATTGCATGAACAAATTAACATCTTTAATATATCTTGTTTACATGCAATATCTGAAGTGTAAATAGTGTGCAGCAAAGCCAAGAAATATTGAAACAAAATTATGAGTGTTCATCATTAAAACGACTAATCAATATATTTTTAATAAAACATCAACGTGTTATTTAGAAAGTCATTTTGATCCAAGTTTTGAAATAGCAGCCATCACAATCTGATTTTGCTGCTGCTGTTGTTGCATAATCATAGCTTGGAATTGTTGCTGCTGTTGCAACATCATTCTCATGAACTCATCATGCTTTTTTCTTTTCTCGTTTTGTCTTTGTTCTTCCAATTCCTTGTCCTCCATTCTAAACTTAACCATAAGCTCATTTTTTCCCCTTAAATACTGTATGGTCTCACTGCCATTAGACCTCTTTTTTTATTGTTTTTCTGAACGTCACCTTCATTTTCTTTTCGTCTTTTAGTTTCTCTCAGTTTTTCCATACCCTTCATACGTATATCATTAGCACTCCACACTTTGTTTTCCTCATCATCCAATCTTTTTCTTTCTGCAGAGTCATCTTCAATCTGAATCAGCTCTTCAACCATGTCCTCAACTTCAGACATATTGGTATCTATTCCAGATGCTCTTTCCTCGCTGCTTAACTTTCTTCGAAGCTTACTTGATAGAAGGTTGTATCGCTCCCGAACTGCACGTTGATCCAAGTCATTTTTAAACTTTGGTTCTGTGATATTTGAACGGTTTGTCGCTATCTCCAACCACACTTGACCACGCTGAGTTGAACTCTTCTTAAATTGAAAAGGATTTTTTACCAAAATTTCTCTGCACAATAAAATGCCATGGTAATCAGTCAGACCATAGCACTAAATTAATGAAAAAAAACAAAAATTAGATTTTGTACAAATTACTTCTTCTAACGCAGTCTCCAAAGAACCCTTGTAATTTTGCTTGTAAGCAGGTTTTTTGAAAAGCTCTATGCAATAATTTGTTGATGTTATAATCACTTTACATTGATCAGTGAAACACAATGTAGAACAAATAATTCATTTGCTATAAATAAGTGAACACTATAAATATGTGAAACTATAGCTTAGAAGTTTAAGGTAAACAACAAGATAGTCGGAAAGGCTAAAACTCCTCTTTTAAATGGTACATATCTGACTATTCCCTGAATAACCTTTATTTGTTTACATCTCAATCTGCATTGAAAAAGCCTGCAGTTTTACAAAATCTGTGATTTTTGACAAATGCAATCAATAGTAAATAAGGTAAACATTTCCTTGTGTATTTAAAAATCGTTTGTTTTCCTTATCTTAAAAATTAAAGAAATTTTAATCACTTACTGACTCTTCCTGCGTGAAGGTTTATCCTTCTCAACTGATTGCACCGCCATTTTGGAAAGACCTATTTTAAAAATGAAAAAGTCGGTCAATTTCCTTTGTATAAACGAGTATATATTTTATGCCATCGTTAAATAAGCATTATTTTATCCATTCAAAAAGGTTATATTTGAATGTCTAACAGAATAAAGTAGAAAATATCATAAAAAAACTCACGTTTTCTAGAAGACGGCAAACCAGCTACCCAGACGTATTCTACGACACAGCACGGGAGGTCACGCATGCGTACAAAAGCAATTATTAAAAAAACACTTCCGGTTTCCCGCATTCTCTGTTTCCGTCGTCGATCTTAAGGTCTCTATTGTCCGAACTTGTAAATATTATGGCTTTTCCAGAATGGAGCTGGATCTTCTTTTCCACAGTCTTATCTTATCGATATTAAACTTTGGCATCAAAGTTTGGGGTGCGCGTCTTACTCAACGTATCTTAATCAAATTGACATAGTTTTAAATCGAGCATATAAATAATGGTAATTGCACTGAGTGGAGTGCAAACACCATTGATTTCAAAATGAATATAATTAACATGAATATCTTCTTTAAATACTAAAGATGTTAAATTTTGGAAAAAAATTATAACAGATCCTAATCACGCCTTGCACGCCCTGTTATCACCCAAACGCCAATTGGAGTTACGTAATCGTGGACATGACTATGAATTATCAAGGGTTCGTACGGAAAGATTTAAAAGAGTTTTTATAGATGCCTTTTTTAACTTAGTGTGAGTTTTTTTGTGGATAATTGTATACTGTTTTTCAATATGCTTTCTTAAGTGTATAGTTGTAAATCGTAAGTCCACACGTTTGCTGTGAGCCATTACCTCTTATAACAATTAAAGACTTAATCAAATCAAATCAATTATTGTTTTTACCAACATTTTTTACCAACTTTTTTACAACTTCATAGGAGGACACGAACAATTTTCTCCTCCAAAGATACATTATTGGGCTGGAAATTACTTCGTGTCCAGAAACATGCGAAATTTAACTAATTATTAGCACACTCTGCATTTTATGAGTTAACCGATTTGCAGAACCGACTTGATACATGATTTTGTGCAAATAACCGCCCCTTTATAACAGATTTTACGTTAAAGCCGTTAATGCCATTACTTCTCAATTTATGAATCACTCACCCTTCGACGGGGTCAATTGCTACATCCCGAGCCTTGGAGGTTTTACTCAGTGTTCTGTTGTCTTTACCTTCTAAAGTCACCACGTTGATTGTTTGCTTAAAGTATTTAGTCCAGAGTATACGACGTCCTATCCAATCAATTGTTAATAGCCATGCCTCAGCATCATTCACAATGATTTCTTCATAAGTGCCGTCAAAATTTGCGCGACGAATCTCTTTCTCGTATTCCGCAAAATATATTTTCTTTTCCTCTAGGTCAATGCCCAGCGTTCCTATATTTCTTTTTCCATCGACGACGACTCTTGTGTCAAGTGTTATTAAGTCAATTGCCAAAATTGCAGTTTCGTTCGCCAAGAACATATATTGCTCAGGATAAGGTTCTAGAAAAGAAATTACGGCTGAAGTCAAATACAGCATATTAATGTATAAATACAGCCTATAGACATGCATAATTATAAACGGATGCGAACTAATGTACAATGTGGTGCTTCTGTGATTGTTAATTCGCTGAATGACCTAATTTGATCTCAGAAATAGCTGGGATGGTTTATAGAAACCAGATGGCGATGCTGTACTCCTCGTTGGAGTAATGTGGCATCGAGTTTACGATGTATACTTCTTAGAAAAAAAATAGTTGTTACATTCTGAAACACTAGAAAACGCATTTAGTATACACTCTACTTTCAAAAATTTCCGGATGAGCCTGCACCACTGCAAGAGAATGAACCAGCCCTCCTTTTGGCATAATATACAAAAGATATCAGAGAATCGATTAGCTTACCATCATAGAAGCACATTTGTGAGTGCATACGCATTCTCGCCTGGAAATATTCTTTTTCTGCCGTGCAACCAGGGGAATTATTCTCACGTCGACGTTTATTTTTGACTTCATCCAAGTTTCCCAGACTTTCATTCACACATCTTCTTTCCCAGTTTTTCACTTCTTCTTTCAGTTGTTTTAATTGCTTGTCACAAATGGGAATATCTTCATTACAATTGATCAGAGTTCCACCAAAGTACATCAAGATTGTTAAAGCAAACAAAATTTTGGTTGAAACGAAAGCCATCTTAGTCATTTCTGTTTATTTCGCAAGAAATGAAGACAGATTATCTGAACAGAAATACAATGAATATCAAATTGACAAAATCAGTGACATGCAGCTGTAATTTTGCAGCACTATTAAGTCTATTATATACACGACAGCCCTATGGTAGTCAGATCCTTCTCTGGGACAGAACAACGCGAATCCACGTTGCAGTTGGTCATCGATTGTTGTGCGCGTGCAAATAATGCGATAGCTTTGAAGTGTTACCAGTTGGTATCTATTTACTTCATTCTGTACTTGCTGCATGGAATATCACAGACACAAGCCAATACTATTAGTTTCAACATATAACTTACTAATGACTTCAAAAAGAGCTATATTTTGAATTTTGTGAGAATTTGAATTTTGGTGAATCCAAATCCAATCCCTAACAATCCAATCTTAGTTTTAGTTAATCGAAATAAATCGAAATAAATCGAAATAAAACTTTTTCCTGCTTCTTCATTCTGATTTCAGCGGCTCATTAAACTTCCTGCTTCTTTGTCCTAAACATCAGCAGCGGGTGTGAGGAGTGTTTTGGCATGCGATACGTTAACAAAAAGTGTAATATATAATGCGTTTGATTATGCGTTTTATTAGTTAAGTAAGTGCTAAGGAAGCGTCTTGTTTACTTAGAAAAAATTTATAACGCGGTATTTCAGCCATGCAGGAATGAGAAACATTAATTGATGTTAATTAATATTAATTAATTAATTAATTAATAAACATATAATTAGTTAATTAATAAACATATAATTAGTATACTCACATATCACATAATTTTTTCACGTAGATCAGTTCAAAAATTATCTCTATCACAATTAACTATATAAAGGCGTACGGAAAGAATCATACACTTCTACATTTCCGAAATATTTACAAAAAAATTTTAATCTGATACAGGAAATTTATGCGGGGAATAGCTAAAGCATGACGCTGTTTACCTGCGCAATAATTGACTAACAGCGCCCTTCACCCGAACCCACGCCTCTCACCCGGGGCTGAAACGTTTGCGCAGTTTATGTAAATCAACAAAGGAAACTAAACCAATCCTCAAGTAGACAAAACTGTATTTACGGCGGCATGTGCATTGTATAGTTCGCTTTTCTTATGCGAAGTTGTACTCAGTATTGTTGACCGACAGTCACCATGTGATTACACGCAGTAACCTACACATGTCAAGGCAAAATATCTGACAACGACACTAACGACGAATATCAGCTATCAAATTCGCTGGAGACATTACTAACAGTCGACGCGGATGACACGGATAATATTCTTCACGAAACGCCTAATAGAACTGTTAACGAACTTGAGATTAAAAAAGTATCGACGAAAGAGCCTGAAAACGAAGGAGACGCCCTGAATACGGAAAGTCCAAGGGTTATAGGCAAAGAATCCCACACAAACCCGAAATCCATGAAAGTACAGTTGCACGAACTCTGAATGGGATGTTGTTCACACTAAAACTGGTGCGACGTGTGTCAACCGAAAGAAATAGACCTGATGTGATTGTAAAGCGTAGAGAATATGCACAATGGTTGATGAACCATGCTATCCTGCGCAGCTGTGTGTTTATCGATGAATGCGGATACAACGTTTGGACCGCCCGTAGTCATGGTAGAGCTAGAGTTGGTGAAAGAGCGTATCACCAGGTTTGTGGACAGCGTGGACGAAATATGACAGTGGCCTTAGCTGTATCCGCCAATGGTGGCTTGGTGTTTCACACGGCATTTCTTGGAGGAATGAACCGTGAACGCTTTGCTGACTTCCTTACACAAACACGCCTTAATCTTGATCCTGATGAGGAAGTAATCTTTATATATGACGGCGCACCAGCACACAACAATCCACCCGTCCCTGCTCCTAATACCGAGTTACGGAAACTTCCTCCATACAGTCCATTCCTAAACATTGTGGAGCAAGCAATAAGCGTCCTTAAAGCAGCAACAAAAGCAGACATTTCCCGTCCCGAAATTCAGCGTTTGATGGGTGATAGGGCCGCGGCAAGAAATCAACGACTACCTTTGGGAGAGTTCCGCACCCATCTCCTCTTAGATGCCCTTAATCGAAACATCGGTACAATAACTGCAGCAAAGTGCGGGCAATGGTACCGTTACATGCAGACGTACATTCCACGCTGTTTAAACGGAGAGGTCATCGACGGTTGAACGATAAATTGGGTCTTTTACTGCTGGATATTTTGCCATATTTTGCAGTGTTAACTTGAAAAGATATTTGTGTTTTATAATACCCGCCCTGGAATATGCGTCTCCGAGGACACATAAATTGAAAATTTAAAAATTTGGGCAAAACAAATACTTGGGACATGAAAATTATACAACCGAATAGAATATATCAATACCTTTCTCTTGTGTTGATTTCGTAGATTTTCATCGCGTTTTAGGCGAGTTATCGCAATATTTCAACAAACAAATGTCTCACTCAATCTCAAAAATGCATTGTGGAAAGTATGAAGCAGTGACCTATCTTTGTAGCGTTGTATCTTCGTTTCTTTTCAGCCGAAAGTGACCGTTCGCCCACCATTTTGTTTATAAAATTCAGCTCTATTTGTGTACTAAATATCATACGCTACAAGTACATATTTTGCCTTATGTGGGCATTTGCGCAAACATTCGGTCGTGCGGAAAGCCCTTTCGGGCGACTCTCGGGCTTGTACGTTTTGATATGTGTATCCTAGGAAACCAGAAGCCTCAGAAATCGATTTTACGGGTAAAAATCATTCAGACGACTTATTTTAGTTGATTTTCAGCCAAATGTGTGGCTGCTCTTTGCAATTTTTAGCGATGCGGTTGCACGGAAATAATGCGTAATTTTGCACTTCAATTCCGTCATGGCCGAAGCGGTATTTACATCAGATGAATCGTATTTTCGAACTGAAAATGAGTCTTCTAGCGATGAAAGCACTTGGGGTATGTCTGAAAATGAAGAAATAAACTTAGACTTCGAGCTCATGCTGTCTGATGGAGATTCAGAGTAAGTATTTTTATGTATTTTATGTATACAAGATCGCACATGTGCGTCCCGCATTATTGTGAGTTGTCCAAAGTTTGTTTCCAAACCAGTGAAATTTCCTTATTTTTTTTGAAAGATGAACAAAGTTCTTTTCAAATCTTTCGCGTTTTACAATCTCTGGTTCAAACTGTTAAAACTAGAACGTGATTGATGATTCAATATCCTTATGTTTATTAGTTGGGAACCTCCACTAGAAGAAACTTCTGCTGCAGACCAGACTCTATCTGATGATGAAAGTCTTGAAGCCAGCAGTAATGTGAACAGGGACCGTTCTCCCATTGGCAATGTTGATGAGCGAACTGACTCTGGTGGTAGACAGGGTGGCAGAAATGGTGGTAGTAGTGGACGTGGTGGCAGAGGACGTGGTGGTAGGGGACGTGGTGGTAGAGGACGTGGTGGTAGGGGACGTGGTGGTAGGGGATGTGGTGGTAGGGGACGCAGTGGTAGGGGACGCGATGGTAGAGGACGTGGCGGCAGGGAACAGGGTGGTAGAGAGCAGTATAGCAGTTATGATGACCAAGATGCTGGTAATCTTATTCCTCCTTTTGAGCCTAATCGTCAACCTGGGCTCCACTTGGATAGGGCTGTTTTGCGTGGTGCTTTCTCAACTGAGATGGAATTTTTCAAATTGTTTTTTACCCACCAAATAGTTAGTTCCATAGTAACTCATACAAACTCCTATGCTTTCATCAAAATAGCATCAGGAGGCTACTCTAACTACACTGATTCCCAAGGTGCCTGGAAGGTGACCAATAATGATGAAATTTACAATCTTATCTCTCTTCCGATATATTTCAGCTTGGTCACTATTAGGTCTTCAGTGCAAAAATATTGGAGCACTAAGACACTCTACCATGGTCTTTGGGCAAGAAGTATAATGCCATTGAAGCGATTCAAAGCTTTGATGGCATTCCTTCATGTGGTTGACCCCTGTAACGAGGATCCTCCTTCCAAGTTACGGAAAGTTGAAGAGTTCATCTGTTCATTCAAAGAGCGATGTCACCTCTTGTATCAGCCTTCCCAAAATATTGCGGTAGACGAGCGAATGGTTAAGTCTAAACATCGCTCTGGTCTACGGCAGTACATGAAAGACAAGCCCATAAAATGGGGGGTAAAGCTGTGGGTGTTGGCAGATAGCTTGAATGGATACACCATTGACTTCGACATTTATGTTGGGAAAACTGCCAAGCCCATTTCAGAGCATGGATTAGGCTATGATGTTGTCATGAAACTTGTTGAACCCTATTTCAACCAGGATTATCATGTATACTTTGACAACTTCTACACCTCTCATCAGTTAGTCAAAGATTTCTTCTTACAGGGAACTCCTTCTTCTGGAACTGTTAGGACCAACAGAAAAGGTTTTCCCAAAGCCTTTGCTGATGCAAAAAAATGGGGGCGTTCTGTTGAGAGAGGAAGCATGCGCTGGCAGAGAGATGGTGTGGTGGTGGTAATCCAGTGGAGTGATAATAATCCTGTTTCATTGTTATCAAGTATTGATACTGCCAATGATTATAGGATGGTAGAGAGAAGGGTCAAGGGGAAAGATGGGTTCGAGAAAGTAAATGTTCGCCAACCCCAAGCCTTCTATCGGCACAACAATTATATGAATGCGGTTGACCGATCCGATCAAATTATTGCTGCCCACAAGGTTTCACGCAAATGTAAGCGTTGGTGGAAGACATTATTCTACCACATGATAGAAATTGCTGTCGTCAATTCCTTTCTTCTCTTCCAGATTCATAGGAAAAATAATCCGAATGATTCAAACTTGAATAGGCCAGGCAAATCCTCTCTTGTTGAGTTTAGGGAAGCTTTGGTTCGGCAGATGGTTGGGTTGGATGAGAAAGGTCTACCACCAGTAAATGTCAATGTCAAGCCAGTTCATACCTATGAGACTGAACACATGCCAATGACGTCAGACAGTGAAAGGAAGGATTGTGTTGTATGTTATGCAACTGGAAAGGGGCGGCTTAGAGTTTGGACATACTGTTCAGCTCCACAGTGTCAAAAGTTCTTACATGTTGGCAAAGGATTTACCTGCTTCCAAGAATGGCACTCCAAAAACTACACTGGGCGCAGATGAGAGTATTGATAAACTTTGTTACCAAATAGTACTGTGCAGTTTCTACGCACTTGACATTTTCCAATATTTGTGAGATAATACCATTCCATGTTGAAGGACACATTTTTTGTATTTTACATTTTTTATATTTTACATTTTTATATGATAGTTATATTCCACTTTTCCCTATATTTACCTATACTTGTGCAAGTATATTCAAATGAAAGTTGCAAACTATGAAATGTTGTGTTTTATGTATTCAAAAGGGCCGAATTCAAAAAATAAAAAAAAATACTTCTACTATGTCAATATTCATATAATTTTGCATGCACACTTGCTGAATCATAAGCTAACGTTTCATTTACAATATAGCCCAAAATGCATCCCGTTTTGGCCAACTATCAAGTTTTACGAAAATGTAACAAAATTGAATTGCGCAATCTTTGTATGTTTATGCTCAATCCAGGGGGGGATAGTTATGAATTGCAAAAACAAATACATCAGATGAAAGATCATACTTTCAGCTTTCAAATGGCACCTTCTGCGTATTCATACGGTAAATACTTACTAAGATACCCTTGTGTAAACAGAACTTCCGGAAAACAGTAAAAGATCCTCGAGTACGATAAAGAGTTTTAATGAATTCGATATGAATTCTATTGTTAGTACGATCACACAATTGGTAATTAACACCATTGTAATGATTATACATTCACTTTATTGACATCCCCTTGGTGTTTAAAAATTTTAATGAAAGACCGACGACAATTTTTTCTGCTAAACGTGCTTTCAAACTAGCTTTATGGAATATATTTAGTTTAATGAAACATATAGACGAACTTAAAATTCTGCCTCCCGATTGTCTAGTAGACATTCTCTCAATTACCAAAACTAAACTCGAAAACTCAATTCAAGACTGTGAGGTTTATATATATACCTGGTTATGAAATAGTCCGCAGAGATAGAAACAGAAATGGCGGACGTTTTTTGTTTTTATATCAAAGATTCAATTAACTTTATTACACGTAGTGACCTCAAGATGGAGAATCTTGAAAACTTGTGCATTGAAATTCGTAAACCTCAATCAAAACCATTTGTTGTTGTCAACAGGTATAGGCCACCAAACTCTCCTGTCGAATTATTTACTTCTTTCGAAAACCATATCGGACAAATCGATATGGCAATAACAATGTTCGAATTCTCTCCAATATTACCGATACGTATATATGGCCTCCAACAACTTACAAACGAGCCTATTCGTTTTACGATCTCAACTTCCACCTTGATTGATTTAATCTATATACAAACGAAGTACTCTGTTCCGGAGTTCATCGCAAACGGAGTGTTCGCGATCAGCGCTATGCGCATGCACTGCAGAATCACAAAGAAACTTCAACGCATTTATTGAAAAATACCACGCTTTAAACGCGGAAAAGTTATATGTATGTTATAAAATTTGCTTCAGAAAATATAGCTTAAGTTCGTTTATATTAATTCAACAAGATCAATTTAGTTTGGAAAAATATCCTAACCTGGCTGGCTTCTGTTTTAAGTTTCCTTTCGAGTTTCCTCCTGTACAGCGATATCGGCTATATAGGCCTAGATGTTGATGCAGCTATCTTTTTCAGTTAATGATTACCAGCAACTATATATTCCCTCAACGATCTACTTTGACCCTTTCTTAAAGGTCAACACAGACGGGACGCGTTATGTGACAACGCAACGCGATTTTTCAAAGTTTTTCATTTTCGAAAAGCGAATAAATTTTCAACTATCATTATATTCTTGTAAGTTACTGAAACATAATATATTTTGACTGCTCTGGTACCGATAGATTCCAAATTTTGCTTCCGGAAATTAATTTGTGTGCTTCTGAAAACAGAAAATTCGCGTCGAGTTGCCACATCGCGTCCGGTCTGTGTCGATCTTAAGAGCGAGGGCGTAGAAATATTATTAAATATGTTTTTATGACATTGCTTTGGTAACACACTTTAACCTATGTACAAAGGAAAACTGAAGCATACGAATGCAATTGCGTCTATAGTTTTCATGCATCGTTAAAGCAACGTATATACGTCGGAGTCTATATAGTTTGAAAATCACCTACCTTTGAACAAGAACTAAAAAATGGAAAATTTTGCTTTTTTAGCTGTTTTAGTGAACAAGATATTTTATCAATAATTTACAAGCACCTGTCGCAATGATGTTTTTAGTCTCAATGCAGTCGCCTAGTGTTCTAGCTTTTATCTCATTCTGAGTTATTTCCATGCAGTCATCGTATATCCAAGGGAAAAAACGAGGCCAGGGGGCAGCGTGAAACCAGCGCGGCTTCCACCAAAGCTTTTATACATTTTTACAAGCACAAGCACGCCCTTTTTGAGGTCTGACTACGTCATTTGTAAAGGTACATTCATTTCACATAATGCGACTAG